TAAAACAAGGAAATGATTTTTGTCTTTTCTCTATCTTTATGGCAGAAACTAATTTCTATTCTTCTTTTTAACTGAACTTAAAATCAACATGTTTATCTTCAAATCCAATATTTATTATTTAATTTCTGTGTAGATTGTATGAGCTAGATATGTATATATAATATTTAATCATATCAAATACAATAACATTTAAGATTTAACTTGAAATTACAAAATTTGTTATATATTAGAAACCATTATCATGATTCTTTTATAATTTTAAAATAAAAAATTTTTTAAATTAAAACTTACTTTTTTCTCTAAAACAAAATTGTATGTAACTTTATTTTATTTAAAAATATAGTTACTTCAACTGAATCAAACTGAATTTGATTTTATTTAAAACAGTTATATATCAACTGGTGGTGATTTTTCTGTCAAATATTTATCTTATGCACAGAATATGGTTTGTTTCTGTGCTATTATTTTTAGATAAAAATTTCTATTTCTCAATGCAAATTAAAGATTATTTAAACATATCATTTTCTCATTCAAACTTATAATTCATGACAAATGAAAAATTATCATATTTAATACACTTGCCATTTTAATCATAATATTACATCCCATCTAATTTAACCTCATGTAGTAGAGCTCCATCATATAATGTCAATGTAGATTTAAAGGAAATTTGTTTATTCACAATAATTATATAACTAATATTTTCATAATATGTATTTCATAATAAAATAATAGCTTCAGACCAAATAATAATTAAAATAGTAAGATTATAATAATAGTAAAATTAATAATTCTAAAAATACTAATCAATTAATTACACAAAGTTATATTCTAACAATATTTTCATTAACATTTTAAAATACGTAAATAGTAAATTTATTAGTTGAACTGAGAGAATAATAATATAAAATAGGATATCAAAAACTAACATAGTTTTTTTATTGCATGTAAACTTATTATTTATTCCCTGTAGTTTTTGTTTTTCTGGCATGATATAAACTAATAGCATGTATTAGCAATAATAATAATAGTTACTTCTTCTCATATAAGAATTGTGCTCTCTAATTATTCTAACCTCCCCCTAAACTTCATTTTTTTCTTTGCAATTATAGTAATTGAATATAGAAGTAGTTTGAACAGTATCATCAAATTAGAGTGGTAAGTTACCACAATTAGATTTTAGTTTCCTGTTTTTGCATTTTATTATTTTTTAATAATTTTTATTTATTTACAACAAACAAAAATATGTGAATAATACTTTTTTAAAGTTTCATTTTGTAATAAATGCTTATAAGAGAATATAAATATTTTGATATATATTTCCCAGCTGGAAGCCTGAATGTTTTCTGTTTAAGAGTTGCAAGGATTTAATCTACAATTTTATGTTTTAGTGCACAGATGAATGTATATGTCAAACCATGATGATTAAGTATTAAGAAAGAAATGATATTAAATTTTTATTTAAAGTGGTTTGCCCAATTCAATTTTATAATTTTTTAATTGGTGATTAATCATTTAATATAAAATGTAATAAAAAACTTTGTTCTTTATATGAAAGGAAAAAATAAGGTTCCATTTTTATTAGATTACTTTTAATGTAATTAGGTTAGAAATTTTATTAATGATTGGACAAATTTTATCATTATGTAGACATGTCAGTCTAGTCTGATGATTCTAATATCTTAAATTTATGTAGTTAATTTTAAATGTCAGGAAAAAGAATATTTTAGAATGAAATTTAAATTTTATGCAAATCAAGCAAATATACTGGCATTTATATTATCTGAATTTTTCAAATTAAACTTTTTCCATTTGTATATTTAATTTAGATATACAGATATACACATATACTGTATTGGAAATATATTTTATTTGGATGATGTAACCAGTATGTTATTTGTAAAATTTCTAAAGAGAAAGGCATGATCACTCAGTTTATATATGGTAGGCTTACAATAGTACCTCATTTTACTGTTAGAGGTGGGTGATACAAAAATCATGATATTAGCATTACTGCAGTGGGAAAAAATTGCAGAATTATATTGCAAGAATTTTTTGAATCACTTTAAAACATGCATGGTACACCAAAAGAACATTCCAAGCAACTCTCTACTTGGTTTCCAGTTCAGAAAGGCTGCGTTTCTTTATGCAGCGAGAGTGCAGCGTAAATGACGTCACGAGCAGCTATCGCTACACGTCGCTGCATCATAGTTTAGAAACGCTTTCCGCTCGAGCGAAACATGGACGTTCATAATCTATCCTTTAATTCCAGTTACATCCGAAAATAGTGCTTTAGTTAAAGAACTACAATATTTAAATAAAGAGATATAAAGAATCGAGCATTTATCTTTCCATAAATGTGAACAAAGTAAAGAGATAAAAGATATATAATTATATTTAAAATATAGTATTTTCTTATTCTTTAGATAACTTTCAGAGTCATTTCATAAAATTTAATCCTTCTTAATCTTTCCATAATATTTTTATCAACAGTCACTTCGACT